AATTCCTCCTTATGGACTTTGTGCATAGACTCTGTGATATCTATTCTATTCTGACTATTTAGATGCTTTTTTATTACCGTTTTTGGGGTTATCAAATTGTTGAGAAGTTGATTCTGGAAGACTAAGTGCAGTTAGAATATATATCATCCAGTAAAAGATTAATGTCCACTTTCAAGTAACAATCAGTAGGAGTTTAGGGGGGTGACTTAGAACAAGAGTTTCAGTTATTAATGTTTCTAGAGAGAAGGACTTCAGGGATCTAGTTATGAAGAATTGGCTTCCTTCCCAGGTTAATTTGCTTTAAGTATTGCAGATTGTATCACCCACTAGCCATATGACTTGGTTTCCTTAGTCATGAATGGAGGAGAGAGGAGACTCTGGCCCCTGTCTCCGAGCCCCTTTCTAGGCTCTATATGTTTAACCTTAATTCTCTATTTTCTCCAACAGTGTACTTCTTAGAATTTACAGGCATGGCAAATCTTGATGTTCTCCTAGGCAACTTTTTTTTGTTTGTTTTCCGGTACCGGGAATCGAACTCATGACCTTGTGCTTGCCAGGCAGGCGCTGTGCTGCTGAGCTAAATCCCCAGCCCCTCAACTTTTATTATTGAAGTCATTACTTTTAGTCAGCTTTAGCTTATAATTTGCATTTTAAATTTTTGGCTTTTTCAAAACCTGTTAAAAGTTCCATAACTTTATTGAGCTATTTGCAAGTGCTGAGGCCTGCCAATTCACTCAGATGGCCACAGCAGCAATGGCTTTGCTTCTCATCAGAAAGGCTGAATCACTCACGAGCTCCCGCCTCTCAAAGGCCAAATGACTCACCAGCCAAGTTCCCTGCAAATTGGGATAAGGAGCGTAGGATATTAGACTTCCTTTTCACTTTCTTTCCTTCTGGTGATATAGATGTGGATTCTCTGATAGCATCTCTTTTTGTTGTTTTCTTTCCAAAATAATATGCACTTGTTTTAAGAAGTTCAAACTGTACGTACTTATATAATACAGAAAGGGGAAGTTTCGCTCTAGAGAAAGTCACTCTTGGCAGTTTGGTGAGTTGATGTTCCTCCAGATAATTTTTCTTTATGTATGTTAAATTTCATTTATGGGAAGGATTGTGTTTATATGTACTCTTTTGCACCTTGCATTTGTCTCCTAGCAATACATTTTGAAGGTTTTTCCATTTAGCATATGTAATCTGTGTCATGTTTAACACATGACATGGATTTCCCTGGTATTGTGACAGCTGAAATCACCTAATGAGTGTTTTCTAGGGTGAGCAGAGGTGTCTCCCAAGGCAGATCCTAAGATGCCAACTTAAATGCAAATAAGCTATTAGGGAGGTGACCATAAGAAGCAGCAAAGGGGAAAAGGGAATTGAGGTAAGAATGGGAGGCAAATCATTGAAAGACATTTGACGACTGGCGTCTGCAGTCCTGGGGATCCTGCAAATCCCTCTCAAGGTCCGTGCTCCACTACATGGACCCAACAAAGCTTTTACACTTACAGTCGCTGCTTATTATGGCAAAAGGACTCAGACTGCAGTTGACCAAGGGCGAGGTTGCTGCTGTGGTCTGAATGTTAATTCCTAAGATTCACACGCTAAATCCTAATCCCCACTGTGATGACATCAGTACTGGGAGCTGTTGGGTAGTGATGAGGTCAGACGGGCTCCACTCTCGTGAATGGGATAAGCGGCCTGATGAAAGAAGCCACAGGGTACTGCACTGTCCCTTCCACTGTGTGAGGCCACAGCAAGAACAGACCGTCTGTGAAGCAGAGAGCAGGCCCTCACCAGACACCGATGTGCTGGTATCTTGATCTTGGGCTTCTCAGCCTCTAGGAGTAACTGAGCAATCAATTTCCATTGTTTCTAAGCCACCAAGTTTATAATAATTGGTTATAGCAGAGCAAACAGACTAACATAGGCATATAGGGCCGAGTGAGGGAGAGACCGGGCATGAGCTTCTGCTTGTCTTCGCCCACTAGACTATGTGATCCATGCACAGTTGTTCCAGCATCCATAGGTGCAGTCCGCACAGAATATTTCCAGGCAGAGCCTTGGTGTCTGGGGTCTGTAACGGGGTCATTCACAGAGGCATGGCTGCCCATCTAAGTGGTTGACCACAGTCTCTAGCCCCTTTAGAGGTCAAATTGATATTGAGTGGCCTAAGGCACCGACTCCAAGTTGTACTACTGACACAGACAAGCTGGCATGGTGCAGGCAGAGCACCCTGGGTGACCAGGGTAGGACACACAGCAGAGGCTGCAGGTAGCCTGCAGCATGGGCCAAGGGAATGGGCAGAGCACTGATAGCTTCAGCTATACTTCCTTACGGAGATTTTGTCATTTCCAGTTTTTCTTTCTCACAAACAATGCAATAGAACAGGAATCAACAAAATTTTCTGTAAAGAGCCAGATGGTAAATATTTAAGGGCTCAAGGGCCACATGATCGCTCTTGAAAGTACTGTATGGAGTAAATGTTTGTGTGCCCCCCCACCCCCATTCATATGTTGAAGTCCTCACTCCCAAAGTAATGATGTGCCCTCGTGATTGGGACTCGTGCCCTATAAAAGGAGTCCCCAGAGAAGACACAATCAGAAGACATCGTGTGTGAGGAAGAAGGACCTCACCAGAGACCAAACTTGCAGTAACCTAATCTTAGACCTCAGAACCTCCAAAACTACAAGAAATAAATCTCTGTTGTACATAAACCACGCAGTTTATGGCATTTCGTTATAGCATCCCAAACAGGCCAAGACAGCAACCTTGCCTAAAAAACAAAAGCACTCTTCTACGAGTAAATGGGTTTGACTGTGTTCTAATAAAATTTTATTTATTAAAACAAGGGGCAGACCAGATTTGGCTTGGAGGTTCTAGTTTGCCAACTCCTGTTATCTAAAATATCTCTGTGTGTGTGTGTGTGTGTGTTTGTCCATTAGTGCAGGCATATCTATGGGATATGTTCCTAGAAGTGGGTGCTCTGAGTCACAAATTATGACATTTTTATTTTGAAAAGATAACCCAAAAGTGGAGCCACCTTGGTCTTCCACCAGCCACACCTGAGAGTGCTTCAAATTTCCTCTCTTAAAACCCCTTTCCCAAGAATACAAGACCTATACAAGGAACACATTGTCCATTGTCATGCTTGAGCTTTGGAGAGGCAGGGAAGGATAGAACATTTTGCCCTAGAGAAGAAAACCAAATGGAACCTGAAGAGATCTCATAAGAGTGTATCTTGCTCTAGATTTGGGCCCCATGGGGAAGGGAACTCTGGTAACTTATTCTTATTTGGTAAGATCAGACTTTACATTGCCCACTAGGCATGGTTCCAAAAGACCTTCAGCATTACCTATTTTTTAGTGTTTTTCCCCCAAATATCTCAGAGAATACTTTAGCAATTTCCTCTATTAAACTAAGATTCCATTCCTAATGCCTTCCTTCTGTTGTAAGGGATTTTCATGTAAATGAGGTTCACTTGTGCATGCCAAGCACATGATTGAATATACAAAAAACATACATGGTCTAATTTTTCCCTAAGCTGACAGGTACTGAACAGCCTTGATAGAGGTGACACAGTGTTTTACTTGCCCTAGTGTACTAGGTCTTTCTGATTTTTAGACATTGGATGGGTTCTTATTTTTGTTTTTCCACTTTTCTTTTTTTCTCGTTTCCATCATTTAGAATTCTTGATGTGAACCCCATGGAGGAGAACAGAGGCTCGTTAGCATTCAAGTTCTGTTTTAGGCTGCATATTTTAGCTGTTTTATTTGATAATCGGCATCCCTCCTGGGATCCAGCCTGCCTTTTCTCGCCTCACGCTGGGTGAATCTTTGATATTTCCCATTCTCTAGCCCTTCATTTGTAACACAGGCACAGCCTTCTTCCCCATTAGTGAGAGGGCACGCTTGGACTACCCACATGCAGATAAAGAATTAGGCAGAACTTGGCTAGGAAGATAAATCAAGCTAACCATCTCATTAGGTTTGAAAGACCCAAACTGAACTTGTGTTGGAATGTAACAAAGAAGACCTCGGACGAGACACGTAACCACACGGGAAGGGAGAAATTGCCCTAACTCTTTCTCTCAGCAAATAGAGACAGGAAACGTGTGTGTGTGTGTGTGTGTGTGTAACAGAGGAATCACGATGTCTGTTTTATGAAAAGTCAACTGACAGAAATTAGGATCAAAATGGCAACATAATACTTATTGAGCACTTACCACTTACTAGGTACTGCATACTGAGAACTTCACGTACATCGTTTCATCAAAACTTCACAGACTTGTGAGATAAAGTACCTCTAAGAATTTTCTTTAACCAATGAGGAAACTAAGACTCAGAAAGGTTACCTGACTTGCTCAGAGTCTAAGAGCCTGGGCAAGTGACAGGGCCAAAATTCATCTCAGAATGTCCAGCCATGTAGCTTAATCCTAGCGGTTCTCACGTGGGATGAACTGGCCTTCCAGGAGACATTTAGCCATGTCTGGAGACATTCTGCGTTGTCACAGCTTAAGGTGGGGCCTAGTACTGGTCCCTAGTGGGCAGAGCTCAGGGGTGCTGCCAAACATCCTGCACTGCACAGGAGAGGCTTCTACAGCAAAGGGGTTCTCAGCCCATAATGTCATCAGTGCTGCCCCAGAGAAACTGTTTACCCAACAGTTTCTGGTTCCATTCAGGGCTCTGTAGTGAGAGTGGAAGGCACCGGGACGTAAGTTTGTATTACACATTGAAGATGGCACAGCTGCTTGCCAGGAAACACAGCTGAAATATAGGTTGGGAGGTAGGAACACAGCCGACATGATAAAGGACGGCAGTAGATCTGTGCAGCTGTGACAGCGATTCACAAGAGATGAGACCAGAGAATCAAGGAATTCTCACCATGAAAAGAAAGCATTCCCAAAGCACTGGTCCCACCTTTGCAGCTGAGGGACTAATGGCCTCTGTCTTGTCCCTGTTCCATTCCCCTTCCTCTCCCTTCCCCCTCTCTGGCTCCCTCCCTAGTGTTTGGCCACAACATGAAGAGCAGCAACGACTTCATTGGCAGGATCGTCATTGGCCAGTACTCCTCGGGGCCCTCGGAGTCCAACCACTGGCGACGGATGCTCAATACCCACCGCACAGCCGTGGAACAGTGGCACAGCCTGAGGTCCCGAGCTGAGTGTGACCGTGTGTCTCCTGCTTCCTTGGAGGTGACCTGAAGGCCTCAGGGAAGGCAGTTTTCATCTGTGCAAAGACAGAAAAAAATGTGTCACATACCTATTACATCCATACCTGCATACACACTCTACACACACGTAAACACACACATTCTGAATCCTCTCAGAACTGAGGGGAAGCTGACTTTTCATCACAAAATGGTCACTCCTGTTGAGGGAGGCCTGAGAATTTTCCAGAGGCCCCATCCATGTATATCACGAGCCAAGTGGGCTCTGCCCTGGGACTTATGCGCAATGCCTGTTCGTGTTCATACCCCGTTCCAAAATGTACTTTCTACCCGCAGGCCAGAGGAAGGGCCTACCAAAGGGAGCCAGCCACCATCAAGACTAAATTTACCAAGAGAGTGGCTAGTGGGTGGGAGGCCTGATTCCCCACTCCCAAAACACACACCCGCTGGGTAACTTCGGAATAGGCAACGGTTCCTGGGGTTCTTCTAACCTGGTACTTCTCTCCAAAGGTGTAAGTATCTTCGTCTCTTAGTAAATGTAATGAATAGGTTAGACTATTTGGAGAAACCAAATGGCAACATCAACAAAAAACATCCAGTGTAGGAAAGGTCTCATGGCTTAACTGATTTGTCCTTGTGCTAGCTTCCTCCAGGGGATGCCCTGTGGGTGTACACGTATATGTTCTCGTGTGTGTGTGTGTGTGTGTGTGTGTGTGTGCGCGCGCGCGTGTGTGTATGTATATGTACCCTCACAGACGGACACGTGTGCCTACATGTCCTCATGGAGAGCACAGTGATGGCCGGGACCTCCACCATGAGCACTCCTATCTTTCCGCCTCTCCCAGGCCCTACTGTCTGTCAGAGCCCCCCCTAGGGGTGATGGTACTGTATCTATGTCGAGTAAGTAGGATATACTAGAGCAAAGGCAGCAGTTTTTGACTGAGTCACGGGGACTATGACTCACCACAAACCTAAATACCTGGATTACAGTGGCCGCCACACCCGGCCACGATGATCTCCTTTATCACGCCCTGACGATCTTTCTGTGTTTGTGCGTGAACCAAAGTCGTGTCTCCCGTGCTAAGGAATTAGTGTATTTAGAATAGCTCTTGCTCTTTCCTTGTTGGATGCTTCTGTGTCTTTTCCACAGCACATTGTCTGGTGTCCTGGGGAGCTATTTATTGAAATTAAAGATTATTTATTTGTGCCATGCATTCGAGTCATCTTCTTTGCTTATGACTGTGGGGCGTAGAGTAAAGGAGGGTGTTCTGGTTACTACGGCTTCATAACTAGCCCAGAAGCTCAGAGCAGTGATGTGTATTATGCTCATGGATTTTGTGGGTCGAGAATTTAGACCCAGCTGGGATGGCTTCTCTCCACTCCCAGTCCCTAATACTGTCATACCAACACCCTCAGCTGGAGTGCTGCAGAGCCGGGACACGGAAACCTCGGAAAGTTCATTCCCCCCTGTGTCAGGCAGGTTATGCTGGCAGCCATCAGCTCCCCGCATGCAGGCCTCCTCGTGCAGTCTGTTTATGGACTAGCTTAGCCTTCCTCACAGTGAGGCTACAGGGTGCTAAGGACAGGCATCCCAAGAGCAGCAGAGAGCCAGGAGGAAGCTGTCTCCTGTTTGTGCCTCACCCCCAGAAATCACATGGAGCTATTCTGTCGTATTCCTTTGGCCAGAGAAGTAAGACCCCAGGTAAAGGACTTGGGTACAGACAAGCCCCTGCTCAGTTTAAAGGAAGGGGACAGAGTGAGTATAAGGAGAGAGGAGACAGCTACATCTTCTGAAGAGCTCAGGGGCTGCGTGGTTTTAGTGCAGCCAAAGGTGCCACGGCGGGCGTCTAACACAGCCAGTTGTGCTGGGCAGTATTGGTAACAGTGGGTGTGGTCCTGGGAGGAAACACTTCAGTATATTCATGTGAGTGTGAGAGCAAAACCCACACAGAGAGGACAAGGATTCATTGTGCTGGTGCACACCTGTAATCTTGGCACTGAGGAAGCTGAGGCAGGAGGATCATGAGTTCGAGGCCAACCGGAGCTACATAGCAAGTTCAAAGCCAGTCTGGACTACATAATGAGACCCTGTTTCGGAGAGAGGGAACAAGTATTTGTGTTACATCTTTTCAGTTGCAAGCAGTATAAAATGCAGACTAACCAACAGAAGGTCTAGCTTCAGCCTCACTGAGTCTGGGGCCCCCAGTGAAGACGCTGATGCTTGTTTCCATTCTGTGTCTTGGGTAGAATCTCCCCATTTAATGAACATCACGGTTACCAGCAGCCCAATAGCTCCAAATCATGTTCCCACGGTCAGTCTTAAATTGCCACGTCCTGATTTTCCAAGACTAAAATAACGTCTCCTTCCTAGCCTCCTCATAGCAAGAGGCGTATATTTCTATGTAACTCTTACTGTAACAACTACCGTGTAGTGGGATCTCATTGTGTGCCGTGGATTGCACTAAGACCAGCCACATACCATCTCGTTTAACCCTCACCGCCTGCTGTTACTATCCCCGTTGTCCAGATGATGAGGCAAAAGCTCTCCAGCGTTAAGTAGCAAGTTTCATGTCGCAGTGAAGTTGGAAAATAATGCCAAAAATTTGCTACGTGTCTGCCGGACTCCAGCAGTTACTGTCACCAGCTATTCCAGCATTGCTCTGCCCGCACATTCTAGACAAGACCCAGGGCTTATTCAGCTTTTTACTTCCTGTGTACTGCTCAGGACTCAACCCAGGTGAATCTCACATAGGCTCAGAAGGCGTCACCCTCCCGGCCACGTGGAGCATTGCCGAGAGGAACCTCAGGGTGCCTGCCACTCTGGAGTGGAGGTCAAGGGCAAAAGCAGGGTTAGTTAAATTCTTGGGAGAGAAAAGAGGAGAAAGTGTTTCCCTACAGAGTAGCTTTTACTACTCTGTAATGTTCTACTGTAATTTACTACTCTGAAGGTTGAACAAAAGACATAAAAGCACAAGGGAACAAACACGAGAGAAGACAGGTATATCACAGGCATTTGGTGCTACAGATGAGGTCACTGTTGATTAGGCTCAAGGGCTGCAGGGCCAAAGAAGTCTCAGTTCAAATCCTGCGCCTGCCTCTCCTTGTTTAACTTACACTAGCCACATAACTCCTCTGGGCCTCAATTTCCTCATTGTCTTAATTAGAATCCCTCAAAAAGAGACCCCAAGTAAAGGACTTGAGTACAGACAATTTACTGGAGAGATGTTCCAGGAAGCATAAGTAGAAGAAAAAATTAGGGAAAAGAGAAAAAGCAATTGAAGTCTGTATTCACTAGCACTGGGCAACTGGGCCTCAATTGTGCTGGGACCCATGTAGCAAATACTTGGGAATTATTATTATGGAGAAGCTGGAGGATTTAACTACTCACCCTTGCCCTCATGCCCTGAGTGTCGCTCCTGGAGGTTGTGAGTGTTTAGCACTTCAGGACGGTGCTGTTGGGCTGAGCAAGAGGCACATGGGCGTGAGAAGGTGAGCTGTGTACGTGCACGGCCCGGCCACTGCAGCTGTCAGGAGCCCGGGTGGACTGAGGGGCGGGAGGTGGGGCAGGCCAGCGTCTGCAGCCCTCCTTGGTAATAAGAAGCGGACCTCCTAAAAACCCTGTGAAGTGCCAAACCTCTGCAACCAGCGGGGGAGACATTGCTGTTCTATTTTTACAAATGGGAAAAAGCTAAGGCTTGCTGAGGTTAAGTGGGGAGAAGGCAGAAAAGCTGGAAGGCCAGCCAGGTCTGTTGGAGGAAAGCCTGGTATGGGTTGAATGGTGTCCAAAAAAGGATTTGCTGGAGTCCTTCCTATTCTGGTATCTCAGAGTTGGATCTTATTCAGAGACAGGGTCTTTAACAAAGATAATCAAGTGGGAAGGGAAGCCATTAGGGTGGGCCCTCCTTCAATATGACTAAGGTCCTTATGTAAAAGGGAAATTTGGACACAGAGACAGACACACAGAGGGAAGAAGATGTGATAAGACTGGGAAAAATGCCATCTGCAAGCCAAGAAGAGAGGGCCTGGAACCAACTAGCAGCCCCAGAAGAAACCTTGCCTTTGGCCTTCCGGCCTCCATACCTGTGAGACAATGGATTTCTGTGGTTTAAGTCACCCAGTCTTTGTTAAAGCAGCCCTAGCAAACTACAGTGAGCCTCTGTACCACAGATTCAACCAACTGTGGATTGAAAATATTTTTTTAAAATTGCGTATATACTAAACAGATTTCGTCACTCCCTAACAATGTTGTGTAACAGCTATTTATATTGTACTGAGTACTCTAAGTAATCTAGAGAAGATTTCAACTGTGCAGAGAGGGTGCAGTAGGTTCCATGGAAACACTACAGCGTTTTACGTATGGGACTTGAGCATCCATGGGTTTGGGTACTTGGGGGAGGTCCTGGAAACCATACTCCTTGGATACCTGTGATTTAGAGCAGGGGTGATCAGTGGCTCTGCTGGGCTGTCTTGTCTGAAAATGTGACAACTCTGTGGGATGGATGTGGGGATGTGCTGGGATAACGCTGCAAAGTCTCCGGACACTTCTCAGTGAAGGGCATGCCGGCTGTGACTACCAGGCACCCATGCAGCAGCATTTGCTGGGTGACCTGCAGGAACAGTGGTAGCACAGATCAGAGCCATCCAGGTTTCCAGCAGTAGTGTGTCAGGAGCTGAGAGGCTGTGTTGCAAGGTGCAAGGAGGGTGAGTTTCTATAGAAACGAAGCCCAAGGTGCTCCATCATGGGCTACCCACTCATTTCAATTAGCATCGTCTGCCTCGTCAGGTAGGAGGTGGGAAAAGAGATACACAGGCCGCTTAAAGCACCCTCATTCGTGGGTGGAGACCCAACTTCAAAGAAAAAAGAGGTGGATTGGAAGCAGTGCTGGAGGGTTTGAAAAGCCACTTGCTTTTCCCAGGACCACCTGAGTCCTTTCATCTTGGGGATGAGAAGGTACCCCTGAGAGACTAAAGCAGGGGTATTGCTAATGTGAGCACAGTCTGGGCAACTTAGGGAGACCCTGTTTCAAAATTTAAAAAAATAAAAAATGGCCAGGGATGTAGCTCAAAGTTAAGGCCCTAGGTTCAAGCTCCAGTACAAAAACAGTATTGCCCTCTTTCTCCTCCGCAACAGCTATGAGCTCAGGTCTCCTCCAGAGTACCTCAGGAGTTACCCAGGACTTGATAAAGCCTACGGACCCCTGCCCAGGCCTGAGGATGGGGGTTTGGTGGATGGGTCCCAGGGAGCCAAGAGCGACTATTTGGGGTACTGGTGTTTCTCTCCCAGAAAGCTGGGAATCACTACGGGGAAGGATTCCTTTCCTTTCTAAGTGGCCTGTCCTCCTCTGCTCATGAGCTATCCGCCATGTTTTGGCACTTAGAAAAGAACTCAGTAGATGAAAATTAAAAACTCAGAACTCAAAAAAAAGACTGAAAAGTAATGTTCAAGTTGGCAGCAGTTAACCTTTGGGTAGTGTGTTTGTCAGCTTTCCATCATTATGAGGAATTACCTGAGGCAGGCTACTTGTCAAGAAAAGAGGTTTATTTAGCTCACAGTTTTGAGGATCGAAGTTGAAAACCAGCTGGCCTCCTCTGCTGAGGCAGCAGATGGTGTCCCCTCATGCGGGAGCAAGCAGTCACATCTCAAATCAGGAAGCAAGGTAGAATTGCAGGCTTGCTTCTCTCATAACCCGCAAAGGGTCACAGGTGAAATACCTTAGTCCCTTTGAAAGGCAATGTCTCCAGTGACTCAAGGGCTTCCCACTAGAACCCACCCCTTAAAGGTTCGATCACCTCTGACCCCCTGAGCACCAAGTTTTCAACATATAGGAACTCTGAGGGACACTCAGGCAAATCCAAACCATAGCAAGTAGTTATTTTGCTACCCAACTTTATACCTTTCTATCCAGCATCTTTGAAGGTCCATATTGATCTATTGGTCACTAACATCATGTGTCAGACATTTTTCTAAGCACTTGTACAAAGGAGGTATTGATCTGTTCCCATTTTGCAGATAAGAACATTGAGGCTTACAGAGATTAAATAATCAGTGTATGATAACACAGCAGCAAGTCTGGAATCTGAGCACAAATGCATCTTACTTGCAAGCCATGAGATAAATTAGTGTCTATCACATCTTTTATGACGATGATGAAGGAGTGGGGACTGGGCTTAATTGGTAAATAAGCGAGATTTATTTTTTTATTTTTTTATTTTTTTTGGTTTTTCTCCAGTACCGGGAACCGAACTCACGACCTTGCGCTTGCCAGGCAGGTGCTTTGCCACTGAGCTAAATCCCCAGCCCCTGAGTGAGATTTTTTAAAAGTTAAGAAATTAAGGAAGAGAGAGATGGATATAGAGATAGATGACAAATGATTAGAGATGTAGATAGATAGATACATAGACAGATAGATGATCGATAGATAAGTGGTACATAAATCTTCACTGAATTCCTAGGCTGCCATGAACACTGTGTGGGAAGGGAGATATAATGTCACTCAAATACCGTTTTATTGGGAAGCCAGAAAATATATATTATGTTAGAAAGATAACATTGCAGCCTGCAAATGGCAGTAAGGGCTATACTTATGAAGTGAAGAAATTGTCTACACTCTGGCTTATAAATGAGGTTGAGAACAGGAGTTGGCAAACTATACCCCATGGCCCAAGTCCTGCCCACTGTCTGTTTTTGTAAATAAAGTTTTATTGAAACACTTCCAGGCCCATTCCATGTCTCTGGCAGAGTTGCATAGTTGTAATACACTCCATCACCTGCAAAGCCTAAGATATTTATTGTCTGGCTCTTTAGAGGACAAAGTTACCCATCCCTGTCTAGAGAAATATTTCATAAGCTTTAATGTACACACAGCCCACTGAGGATTAGTCAAAGTGGAGATTCTGACTCAGCCAGTCTAGGGTGGGGCCTGGGATTCTGCATTTCTAATAAGCTCTGCGGACCACACTTGGGTTTGAGCACATTGTAAATATTTTGTTTCCTTTCAGAGAGGGGGCATGAACTGACTTACAAAAACCTTTGGACTTCTCTACTTCTCAGAAAGTTTTCCAGGGAACTGCTTTGGAGTACCCTCGTTCTTCCACATTCGGGGGGCCACTTCTATAATTTGAACATTTGTCCTGTCCAAAACTGTTGAAATTTGGTTGTCATCATGGGCATCATAATGGTGTTGTGCAGTGGGACCTTTAAGAGGTGTGCAGGTCCCTCATCAGGAATGGTTTGATCTCTCTCTCTCTCTCTCTCTCTCTCTCTCTCTATTAGTGGGCTCCCCTCCTTTCCTCTCCCGCCCTCCCCCACCCTCTCCCCTTCTGCCATGTGATGCCTCCGCAGGAAGATGCAGCCACCTTGACAGTGACCTTTCCAGCCTCCGGATTCTGTTCACTATAAATTAGCCATTCTCCAGGATTTTGTTAGGGCAGCACAAAATGGACTTCGACAGGGCAGTAGGGGCCTCCAGAATTCCTCTCACAGGATGATGGAAAGGCACTGAGGAGAAAATAGCCCAGCTTTCTTCTATGCTGTATGTATATTTTGTATCAAGCTTTTGCAATACCAATTTTGGCGGGTAGGTGTATAGCAGACTTTATAGATTAATACCGCCACTCGTGCCTGCGTATGACTGGTGCATGCTATTTATGAATAAAGAAATACACATGCCTGGGGGTGTGCATCACTGCAATATTTTGAGGCAACATATATCCAAGATGCTGCAGGCTGGAACTAGGCCTGGGCTGGGCCCGTACCCTGAGCCAGGCCTTGGTGCAGGAATATTCAGCTCCAGTACCAGCAGGGAAAAGCAGGCTGAGTGACCACCAGGTAAGTTGTTCCCCAGGAGCACAGCCGGGTCCAGAGAGCAAAAGAGTGACTTGGAAACTAAACTGACACATTCCAGTCCTCCCTGTGAATGCCAGCGACACAGGCGTCAGAGCACCTGGCTGAGCATTTGTGAGGAGCAAGAGGAAAAGCAAGGTGGGGAGGCTGCGTGTGATGCCGGGGAAAGTCTTGCACTAGATCCATGATAACAGCAAAACATGCAGTCACTTACTGAGCACTGCTGCCTGCCAGCACCTATGATAATAGTATAGCCAAATGATTTCACGTCATCTCCGTGAAGTAGGTAGTTTTGATCCCCCATGTTATAGAGGAATAAATTGAGGCTCAGAGAAGCAGAGTGACTTGTCTCTGGACACACACACACAAAGAAAGATTCTGATTTTTAGAAATACTAATTCTCTGTGGAGTTGGGGATAGTGGCTCAGTAATAGAGCTCTTGCCTAACGTGCACAAGGCTCTGGGTTCAATCCCAAGCACCACAAAATAAAAGAAAGAAAGAGAAAGAAAGCTAGATTAATTCTCTGTAAATGCAGTAAGATCACAACAGAAACAGTGAATTTTAAAATATAGAAGTACAAGCAAAGGACAAGCAGAGCTGGGCATAAGTGGCCGCAGATGTCACTCTGTGTGGGCCATTTGCAGTGTTGAACCTTCTCCGGATGCAGCCTTAACCGCAGTGGACCTTGAGAAACCCCTGCACCTGCAGGGTGAGGCCAGTGGGAACACTTCAGTGAACCCCAGCTTGTAGACCTTGCCTGATACGGGTGCCTTTCTCAGCTCTGCAAAATTGTTCTGCTGTGGAAATGAGGCTAAGTCTTATCTGATTTTCAGATTTTTGGGAGGAAGCAGAAATCTGGACCTATACCTGAAGTCTCCTGATTTCATTACCTGACAACATTTTTAAAATTTTACAACACTACATGAACCAAACAAATTATACCCATGCAGAGGAAACCTCTTCACAAAATGCTAATATTTCTACTTTCTGATATATATGCACTCTGAAGGAACCAAGAAGCTTTATGTCCTGGAGCAAGCTGGAACTTGAACCTCCTTTCTTTTCTTTTCTTTTCTTTTCTTTCTCTGTTTTTTGTTTTTTTGGTACTGGAGATCAAGCCCAGGGCCTTCACCCTGAGCTACATTCCTAGCACTTTTTTAACTTTTCCTTTTGAGACAGGGTCTTGCTAAGTCATTAAGTAGCTCCAGCTGGTTTTGAACTTGCAGTCCTACCTCAGCCTCCTGGAGTGCTGGGATTATAGGTGTGTACCACCAAACCCAACAGGAATCTCCTTATTATCTTACAGAGAAAGAAACTGGGTCTTAGAGAAGCCATGACATTGTGGCCCAAGGCCACAGTGTGGCTCAGAGCAGAACAGGGAGCTCAGGTGGCTCTGGGTTCGCGAGGGCAGGCTGACCCAGGCCACTTTGCTCTCAGCTATCACTCTGGGTTGTCTCCAGTGGTACAGAGAGGAGGGAGCTGGGAGGATGAGGAGACCAGGGTCCGCCCCTCTGTCTTAGCTCCCGGCAGGGCCTGAATCCTGAGCCCATCAAGATCCCCCTCAAGAGCCTTGTTGCTGCACTCCAGCTGAGAAGTGGCTGTCTGGGAACTCAGGAAGCAGCAGTGGGGCCGTGGGCCTCAGTGGCTCCCTGACGCGCCTCTGTGCAGGCCTTTCCACAAACATCAGCATTGGCCCAGCACTGGACATCAGTATTGGCCCAGGTGAGCATGGGGCCGGAGCCAGGAACAGATGGGGAAGAGGACACTCCAGGCACCAGAGGGTCCATCGGTGAGGCCTGGCGGCAAGCTTGTCTGGTGGAGCAGTGTTGAAGGCCAAGCTGAGCCTCTTTTTCCTTTTTTTTCTGTTTGTTTTTTGCAATACTAGACTTGAACTCAGGGCCTTACACTGAACTACATCCCCACTACTTCCCCAATCCTTTTTGTATTTTTAAATTTTGAGATAGGATTCCACTATGTGACAGAGTTGCCCAGCCTGGGTTTGAATTTGTAATCCTCCCAGTTCAGCTTACCAGAGTGCTGGGCTCACAGAACTGTGCCTTTGCGCCTGGCTGTGTGCCGAGCCTCTTGATAGCTTGCCCCACCGCACTCCTATGTCCAGACCCTTCGTGTCCTGAGTTTAAACCCCAGGTGTGTAATTTACAAGGTGTGTGACCTGGGCATGTTTCTTAATCTCTCCAGGCCTTAGTTTCTTCTGGAAAGTGGGACTACATGGCCCTCTTGAGGCCGCTGTGCTTGGGAGATGAGATAACATGGTGAAAATGCCGTACAGCAATGTGCACAACAAACATTAAGTCATACACAGCCCTTCCTATGTGACAGACAGAATTCCAAGAACCTTCCACATGTGCATTTATCTTCACAATCAGTCTATGGCAGAAACACCACTTACTTTTAGCTCCCTTAAAGTGAAATTAACAATGAATGCCCTAGAAGGAGGGTCCCATAAAGCCAGTTATTGGGCTGGTGGAGAGTAAGTGCTGGGTTGCTAGATAAAACATCCATAAATACAACCAGTATGTCCTTCTTTTTTCCCTTTTTATATTTTAAAGAGAATAAATTTTTTTTTAAAAAGATTAATAATGATGTGGAATTTGAAAACAAGATAGGAAATCAGCAATGGTTATTATATTGAGTATGTCCCTTTGGAGTATAAGTATGTCCCAAATGCAGCATTGGACATAGTTATACTAAAAATTATTTGTTGTTTATCTGAAATTCAAATTTAACTAAGCATTCATTTTTGTTGTTGGTTGTTTTGCTCTGCTGTGCTGTGCTTTGCTTTTGTTTGGGGTCTGGCGAGGCTTCTCAGAGGGATGAGGGGAGCCTCGCTTCATTAAGGAGGCATCTGTGGCTTCCGTTCTGTCCAAGCTCTGGGAGTATTAGTCAGCTCGGCTGCCACAGCAAAATACCATAGACTGGGGGCTGAACCAACAGACGTATTCTGCACAGACTGGAGGCTGGAAGTCCGAGATCAGGGTGCCGGCAGATTTGGTTCCTGGAGAGGGCTCTCTTCCTGGGTTGCACACGGCCACCTCCTCACTTGGCGGACAGCAAGAGTGGGTCTCCCTTCCTTTCCTTTCAGGGGCACTCGTCCCATCGTGAGGCCCACGCTGGTGACCTCATCTAAGCCAGGGAGTGTCCAGGGCACAGGAAGGGACTGACCAGGCAAATGTAGCCCCGGAGCCCCCCACCTCCTCTGCTGGCTGGGCCCCAAAGCCAATCTGGGCAGGTGGCAGAGAGTGGTGCATTTGTGGGTGGCTGGATGGGGGCCAGGGGAGCGAGCAGCCAGATTGAGTAGGAAGGTGACAATTTATTCTTTTAAAAGAGAGAGAAGGTGGGGGAAGAGCCCTGAATGCCACTGGTGTGTTTTCTCCCCATAACAAGCTCAGAGCTCCCAAAGGCTTTGACTCCCACCCAGCTTGGAGACCCCTGGGCCTCGGTGCTGCTGATTGGTGTAAAGGACCGTGCAGCTTGGCCTTTTGGTTGAGAGCAATGAGCCCTCTGTGCTTCCTCCTCCCCTTTCGCTGTCCCCTCCCCGTCCCTCTCCTCCAGCCTTCTCCCTCACTCTGCGTGCTCGCTAATTCCCAGCCATGAGAAACCATTGCCAATTCTCCACATGCTCCACCCGCTCTTATACCTCCAGACCTTGGCACATGCTGTGCCCTCCACCTGGAACACTCTTCTGCTGCCGCTTACCATCCTTCTGGCCTTGGTTGAGACACCACTGCCTCAGGACGCTCCCCAGACCTCCACTTCTGGACTCTGCGCCTCCACGGTGCCCTGTCCTAATCATATGTGGGCTCTGTGACACTAGGGACAGGGCAGCCACCAGTCCTATCTGGGAAAGGGGCAAACAACTAGTTTCCAAAGTAATTTAGGGCCTTCTCCCTCCTATTTTTGTCTGGATGTAACATATCCACAAATCGCATATTAATGAAATCTTTACTTTTGTGCCTTTCTTGGTCCTGGTCTGTAAGATCTATGAGGCCAAAAGCCACAACTGTGTAGCTCACCAGTCTCTCCAGCATCTAGCCAGCTGCCTGAGACCAAGGAGGTGCTGAAATAGCACTTGTTGAATAAAGAAAGGAATGAATGAAGGACCATACCATTGAGGCTGAAGCAGAAAAAATGGGATGAAATGCGGCAGATAGCCTGGCTTCAAAAATCCCAACTCTGCCAGTTAGTAGCTGTGTGACTTTGAGCAACTTAGTCAACCTCTCTGGGCTTTGGTTTCTTTTTAAAGTAGGAGTGAGAGCAGTACCTGCCTGGTAGGTTGTGGAAAGACCAGATGAATCAATACATAGAAGGCACTTAACAGAATGCCTGGCACAGTGCTCAGCCAGGGTTGGTCCTGGTTATTGTGTTAATTGTGTTACCATCATTACCTGAAGGTCAGGCTCTAAAGTTGTGGCTGAGGTAGATAACAAAGGCTGCTATGGGGCCAGGCTGATGAAAGGCCCTCTCTGCCCAGTTTTAAAGCTGCCACGTGTGAAGCGGGGCGTCCGGCAGGTGGGAGTTAATTGTCATCCCTGCCCAGCCAGCGCTCCTTCTTCCCTCGCAGTTAAAGGCCTCTGCCTGCCCGAATGGAAAGGGGAATAATGGACCGGTGACCCATCACAGCCCCATTTTCTGGTATATTTCCCTCTAGGCATCCAGAATCACCATTTGCTCATGGAGAAAAATCAAAGGGGCCGGAAGTGGAAAGGAGTATAAATAGTTTAGGGGCCTGTTTTCCACACTGGGAGTGGGGGTAGGGTGCGGTCCTTTGGAAGTATCCCCCAGGCTTCAGGACAAGCACTCTCCCTCCTCCTTTCCCTCCCCAGCTCCCTCACTGCATTGGGGATTCATTTCCCTTTGCCAAGGCTTGTTCAGCACGTGAAGGGATGAGTGGGTAGGTGCGGAACTCTACAGGCCTCTAGTTCCTGTCTGGTGTGCTGCAGACCGGAGCGCCCAGACTCTCACACGTGTGTGAATCACCTGGGGAATCTTGTGAAGATGTCACGTCTGCATCCCTGCCCCTGCTGTGCCGGGGGAAGCCAGTGTTGCCCTTGGTTGTGCAGCTGGACAGTCTGGAAACGCAAGACCAGGTAACCTGCCTTTGGTGGCGTTTGACTCCTTACAAGTATATATTCATTCAAAATACGTATTGTGCACCTACTGTATGCCTGGGCCCTGGGTGAAGAGGCCCTGGGTGACCACACAGACATTAGCCAGGGGGACACCAATGCTGAACAAGAATTTGTGGGGGTTTGGGAAAGCAGGGTACAGGGGGCCCTGAGAGCCTTCACCAGTGGTCTCTACCTCATCGTTCCCAAAGACCTCTCTGTGTAGCTAAGACTTGAAGGAGAAGTAGGATTGGTGGAGTCGGGCCCAGGGCGGTGTCTGGGAAAGTCTGGGCAGGTGCTGGAGAAATGGCCAGAGCAGGGGGGAAGGGCCACTGGCAGGTGCTCGGGAGCAGAAAGGCCATCCCACAGGCAGCGAGGTGAGGCTGTGCCCAGCAGGAAGAAGGCCCGGGACTTGGGAGGTGACACAGGCAGGAAGAACCACTGCGAGGCAGCTAGGAAGGTCTCTGTGAGAGAGGACGGGGATGGGAGGATGCGGAAAGGAGAGAAAGGAGAGAACCAATTAGAGACGTGCTGGGGAGATAGCGTGGACAAGACCTGAAACCGATCAGATGCGGGAGAGTGGAAAGAGGAGAGGTAAAGATGATCTGGCGCTCAAATATCTACCAATGCTAGAAAGTTCTGACCCACTCCAGCCAGTTCTTGCCACTCCTCTCTCTTCCCATCCGACCTAGCTACAGTATTTGATGTCACGTGAAATACAAAGGCAGAGAGAATATAACGGTGCATCCTGCCTTGGACTTGGAATGGAAAAAGAACAAAACAGTGAAATCTGAATAAGTCTGTAGTTCAGGTAATAATATTGTACCCATGTTAATTTTAGTCCTGAAAAACATTCCATGAGTTGTGTTAATATAAATGTTAGGTAAGCACAGCATGGAGGGAGGCTGAGGCAGAGGAACTGAAAGCTCGAGGTCCACTAGGGCAACTTAGGGAGACTTTGTCTCAGAATAAACAATAAAAATGGCTACAGCTCAAGGGTAGAGCATCCTTTGATTCCATCCCTCATACTAACAAACAGAAAAAAGATGTGGACATCAGGGAGACTGCGAAGTTGCATGGGAACTCTCCATCTTTCTTGCAACTTTTCATATATCTAAGTTTATTCCAAAATTAAAAGTTTATGTTTTAAAAAAATGAAGGAAAAGAGAACTCAGACAATTAGGGTAGAGAATGCCAGAACAGACAATAAGGTAAGTCAGTGAACTTCAAAGCTTTTTCCTCTAACCATGCAGAAACACCACACAAACTCTTGCAAACATCATTTTATTTTATTTTATTGTTTTGGTCTTGTTGAGATAGAGTTCAGGGTGGCCTTGAACTCACTTTGTAGCCCAGGCTGGCCTTAAACTCACTGCAATCCTCCTGCCTGAGTCTCCCGAGTGCTGGGATTACAGGCATGTGCCACCATGCCCAGCCTGTAAACATCATTTTAAAGTGAGGTCAGGGGCTGGTGTATAGTTTAGTGGTAAAGCACTTGCCCACACACACGAGGCCCTGGGTTCCATTCCCAGCACCGCAAACAAGCAAATAATGTTAAGGTGGACATCTGTCTTCATTACTTTTTTCTTGCTGCTGAGACAAAATACCTGACGCCCAAAGTTAAGGAAGGAAAGATTTATTTAGCTTACAGTTAGTGGAGGTTTCGGTCTATACTTGGCCAGCTCCAAGGCAGGGTGGCACATGAAAGAAGGAAACAGTTCATGGCCGTGGAAAACAACAAAAGCAGCAAGAGCAAAAGGGAGCTGTGGAGGGACATCCAGACACAAACCATAACAACATCCAAGAAACTGAGGGGCTTCCTGAGGGCCAGAGGCAAAGAAAGAGGTGAAGTCGAAGCAATGCCACCTCCAGTCCAGAGCCCTGAGCCCTGAGTGGCCTCACTCTTGGTAAAATAGAGGCTTGGGTTTTAGCACCCACACAGGGGGAGGAGCTGTCAAAATCTAAATAACCCACAGAGAGAGATTCTCCAAAGATTAATAGGTTGATTTGAGGTTGGCATTGCAGTGGGAATACATGTGCCAAAGTAAAAACCAGGTACATGTTCAAAGAGGTTGAAGCAGGAGGACGTTTTAAAGGCAAAGGCAGAGGCATACATGAGTTAATTTGAAACAATAGTCCTTGGCTACAGAGGTCAATAATCAGGGTGAGGTCCGGCCAAGATGAAGCAGGCAGCTATTGAACAGAGGTCTTGCTGAAGTATTTCTTTTGTGTAAGACTGTTGTGGCCTTTGTGCAGAGCTGTGGCTCTAGAAGCATCTTTTATGACTGTTGTTTTTATCAGGCCTATATACCAAGAGCTCCTCCTTCGTAGCTTCCCAGTTTTATTTGTTGTTGTTCTTGTTGAGGCTTGATACACATGACTCCATTTTGATTCTAACAATTTTCACAGAGGTGACATCAAAGCCTTTTGAAGATGCAGCAGCAAGCAGAAACGCCGAAACAACACCCAGGATTTGGAGGCAGATTTCTTTTATGTGGACAGGTACTGACTGGGACCATTTGTAAAATATCAGGCCCTGATCTCTGGTGATCTAGGGCTTACGTGGGATAAGCAAGCAGGAAGTACAGAGGCAGAATGGCTTGTTGTTACGGTTTGTGTCTAGATGTCCCCCGACAGAGTCTCATGCAGTCATGGGGCGGGCTTCCAAAGTTTTTGATTGATTCATGGTCCAATGCTGGGATTATGAATGTGAGTGCTACACCCGCCCTGGGGTAAATAGTTTGCACACAGTGTAAGGGAGGGAGAGAGGCTTGCTCTCTGCTCCTCCTGTTTTGCTCTTGCTGCTTTTGCTGTTTTCTGCAGCCATAAACTCTTGCCCTCTGCCATGTGCTACTCTGCCTTGGAGCCAGCCAAATATGGACTGAAACTTCCACAAACTGTGAGCTAAATAAACCTTTCCTAATAAATAAATAAATAAACCTTTTCTTCCTTAATTTTGAGTGTCAGGTCTTTTGACAATGAGAAAAGTAACCAAGACACTTGTCAGTTGGGGATTGGTTTATACAGTGTGTCTCATCATTACCAGCTATGCATCACAGTGACCAGCCGTTTCTAGGAGACAGATGCAATGGGAACTGTAACCGGAACTATTACCTGGGCAACTAAGAAACTGAAGTACACTGGCTGGAGGGTCATTTTCTGTTACAAAGAAGGGAATTAAGACTGAAACCTTCTCTTAGAGTGGAGACTCAGCAAGAGGTACACCTTTCAAAATAAGAGTATGGGGGAAAAAATCTTTTTTTCCTACTTTCAGAGAGAGGTGATAAAGAAGTGTGTCTGCTTCATCCTAAACTCAGAGAAGGAAATGGTGGAATCCTCTGAAGTGTCCTTTGGTGGGGTCTGTGCTGTTACATTTAAACACAATCTTAGAGCTTTTAAACCAGGAGTTTATTACCGTAATCCATTTAACTCTGAAATTACAGAGCCCAATCTACTTCTAATTGGTTAGGTGAACTACGGCTTAATTTTTTTTTTAAAAAAGAAGAGAAAACAAACAAACAAAGAACACAAAGGCAAAAACAAAGCAACAGAAAATGATGCAGAAGTTCAAAACAAGGTGATAGGAAATTAACAATGGTTGTTATATATACATATTGTTATCTTCAGTGTAGTTGCTCAGATCAACCAGACATAGGCATGCACAATCAGGCTTAATTTTTGTTATAGAAAATATAGATAGGCTAAGGAATATCTGCTAGGATGTTTGTGTTGCTGCACTGTGGTGTCATCTTCCAGTTTTGGAGTCTTGCCTTTCATCTCAGGCAGGGATTCTCATCCTTAGTGCTACTGACATCTTGAGTCAAATCCTAATCATACCTTGTTGTAGGGAGTTATTCATTGTAGGATGCCTAACAGCATCCCTGGCTTCTATGCACAGATGCTAGTAGCACCCCCGGCCCCCGCTGTGATAACCAACAGTGTCTCTGATGTCCACTGGGTTGAAATTGCCCTGGTTAAGCACCATGACTTGACAGAAACCAATCATCCAGGTGGCTGGGAGGTGAAGAGTTACCCAGAATGGGTGACTTTTGATTTTAAAATTGGGACCAGACCTGGGCATATTGGAATGGATTGTCCACCTTATTTCCAAGTCTAACATGGGTATTTAGGATGCTAAGTAATTTCAGGAGTGTTGTATTCCTGGAGAATCATGCCAGCCAGTCCTAGGCCAACTTGGCCAAGTTCTCACCAGTGAGTTTCCTTGGTGATAAGTGATGGAAAAAAGATGCAGGAGAATGGTTTGCTGCTTTTCATCCATGCTAAGAGAAGGAAACTGCTCCAAAATCAGACCCTGGGAGTGGTTCCATTGAGTCTTTTGTGTAGTAGGCAATCCTGTGAAGTCTCCACAAGGAGCTCAGTCACATCCAGCATCACAAAGGATCCTTCCATCCTCTCAGCCAAGGTCATTTTAAGGCATCAAGAAGACCAAGTCTTCCTACACCAGTGGTGGTGAATGTATGGCATGCATGCCACGACAGGGTGTTTGTTATCATTGAAAGCTCTAAAAGGTTTGCCATCACTGTCCTAGAGCAGTGTTCTCCGTCAAAAGAGGAGAAGACTGAGACCCAGAGATGGGTAAGGTCAGGTTGAAGGTTCTCAACTTCACAGAGTACTTTCTCTTTGCCATATAGATCAGGGTTAAGACATCAAATTCCAAATCAGCTCACTCCAGTGTGCACCATGGCATGCATTGTTGGCTAAGATTGACCAAGAGGTTGGGATTTCCTGGGACTGGTCAGCATAGCTGGTTGGAGTGGAGGAGGGGCTGGTTCTGGGCACATGGGAAAGCCCAGTGGCTCTGGCTAATCCTGAGAAATATGGCCTCAGACCTGCCTGCTCAGCATAGGTCTCTTGATTACAGTAGCTGTCCTTTTCTGTTCCCAGGAAAATGCACAGTGGCATGCCTGCACACACATGCGTGAACTTTTTTGGTTTCACATTGGATTTCAGGGAATTTATGGAACTTCTGCATTAACCCTTGCTGTGAAACTCCAAGCTAATCATTAACAACTGCGTTATTATGAAGCAATTCATATATGCCAAATACTAGGTGAATTTATTTGGCCCAACTAATTAGCTCAGAACCCCTATGATGTAGGTGCTATAAAGACCATTAACCAATCTCAGCCATATTGATTTCCCATGATGGAGTATTATAAGCCTGGTCCAAATCCCTATTCTGCATTTCTTTTCAGGGTGACCTTAACCTGTTGAATCCTCAGTTTCCTTTTACATGCTTGGCACATCGTAAGTGCTCCATACATGTTGTCCATAACTCCATGAGCTCAGCCAGTCACTATCATGGCTGGAAGGCAGATCTTGTAACACTGGATTGCCACAAAAGGGACCCTAGGGATCAGCTAATTTGACAGCCAAGAAGGAAAGGAATGTGCCTATGCCTCATGGCAGGCCAGGGACAGGGCTGGGGCCAGGACTTGGAATAACAAATTTTACCACTGCTCACTATATGGATGGTTCTCCCAACCCAGTGTGAGAGGGTCCTCAGCCTGCCTGCCTCTCCCAGTCAGTCATGTTGAGCCGTGGTTTCTAAGAAAAGCATCTCCCAAAAAGCTTCCTGGGGTGCTAAGGCTTGAAAAAACTTTATTGTCTCAGTGTGTTTGTGTGTGTGTGTGTGTGTTTAAAATGTGTTGCTTTTCAGAATTAACAACAAATCCAGCAGTGTAAAGGCCAAAAGATATAAATAGTCTGAGCTCTAGTTTGTCAATACACGTGTGGGAAAATCTACATCCTTGTCAGATAGCCCAGAATTGAAAATTGAAATAAGATACCATTTTTGCTTATAAAATTTGCAAAGATTGCTGTGAAAGTGATGACCGTGGTGCCGGCGAAGGCAGGGTGAGGGGGTACTTTCAGACAGGACTGCTTGAGTTGAAATTGCATTCAGGAGGCAATTTAGCAAATCGCATCAAAGCCCTCAAAATCTCTCCTCAGAAATTCGAAAAAGCTGTATGCACAAAGCCATTCATCTTGGCATTATTTGTAATAGTTTTAAAAAAAGCAAGAAAGCAATCTAATTATCCAAAAATAAGGAAATGATTAAATAAACTTTAGGATGGCCACACAGGAGTGTATTCAAGAGCTATTTAAAGCAGTGTTTGCAAAAAATGTATCGACATGGTGGGAAAGTTTATTCTCTTTGATTTTAGAAGACAGAATACTGTTTTATGTATAGTACAATATAATTACACCTTCACTGAAAATAACCACCACACAAATGTGACATGAGGGAAAATGTGCCGAAGTATTAACAATTTCAGAGGGTGATGAGCACGTACTACTTTTATAATTTTGAAAAATTTAGGTATGAATGTGTTTTTGGACCTCAGCCTTACAATTGCCAATTAATCACAATGGGGTATGTTTTACTTTCATCCCTGAAAATATGCAATAGGCTGTGGACACAACCTCAACACTCCCATCGTTCCTCCCAGTCTGTTTTCCCACGGCCCCCAGCACTGCCAGCGCTGCCCCAGGCATCCCTGTGTCCCCTGTTCTGGATAGAGTTCAAAGGCCGCTACGGTGGATTCTTCCTTCTCAGTAAGACCTGGGTGGAGGCAGTCTCCACTGCTCCGAGTTCTCCATGGGCAGGAAGTCTGCCAAAGTGTCCTCCATGCACAAATGAGTGTGCTTCTTTGCCCTCCAAAGCCCAACCAAGAGCCCCCTTTGCGAGAGGGTGTGGAGAATTGTGTCTCCCACTGGTCTTTCTCTTGGGCCACTGAAACCACTTTTTATCTAGCCTGGTTTCTCATTGAAATTATCCTTGGCAGCAGAGGGTGAAAGCGTTTAGCCACAGCAGCAAATAGCATACTGGAAAATCTATCCTTATAAGTGGCAATCTTGTGCTGTGTTCTGGTGTGTATCAGGGAGCTTGACCCGGTCACAAAACTGACATCTTATACATATAGAAATATGACTTCAAGAATAATAGTTGGCATTTATTTGACACATGTTTTGCGTACATTGTCACATTACAGCTTTCTCAAACCTTGTGAGGGAGGTGTCCTCTTTCTATAGACAAAGAACTGGAGACTCCAAAAGAGTAAATATCTTGCTCAAAGTTACACAAATATTAGGTGGTGGGAACTGGGCTTTTTTAGTGTACTGGGGCTCAAAGCCAGGGCCTTGAACATGCTAATCCCAGCTCTCCCACTGAGCTACATCACCAGCCCCAGGCACTGAGTTTTGAACCTGAGAGTTGAATTCCATGCGCCTAAGCTTCAGCCACACTGATCATCTCCACATTTTCCAGTCTGATCCAGCACTTTTAGTCCCCTATACCTTTGTGCATTCTGTTCCCGCCACTGAGCATTCCTAAGGTAGGGGCTTCTCCTCCAAGCGAAATACCGCCTCAGCCTCCAAGACAGTTCTGACATCTGCTCACTGAAGTCCCCTCAGACTCCCTGGCGCCTGATGACACTCCTGACCCACCTCTGTCAGAGTCCTTCCCCCAGCACAGCTGAACGACTGTTCACACCTGACTTCCTGCCTCTGTTAGTTCTTCAGACCAGGTGTAATACAACCTGGTGATTCTCAGACTATGAATTCACAATCTTGTCTTAGGCACTTTAAGTTAGAAAGAGGGTCAGTTCCTTATATTTTAGAATCATTGTGTTTTCTTTAGAGTAACTTTCTAAATAAGTTGTTAACCAGTTTCTTAGTCCCTGTTATCCTGTTATAACAGATTCCCTGCATCCAGGTAAGTTACAATGAACTGTTCTCACATTTCTGGAGGCTGGAAAGTTGGAGCTTGGTAGCAGCATGTGGTAAGGCCTCTTGTACTGTCATCATCCCATGGCAGAAGTCAAAAGGGTGAGTGAGGGGCCGGGGATGTAGCTTAGTGGCACAAGCACCTGCCTGGCAAGCACAAGGTCCCGAGTTCAATGCCCAGTACCAAAAAAGAAAGGGGGTGAGTGAGTACATGAGACAGAGGGAATTTAGCTGAACTCATTTATCGGGAGCCACTCCCATGACCATGCCCTGGTCCAGCCGTGAGGCAGAGCTCTCGTGACATAATCGCCTCTTAAAAGTCCCACCTCTTTGTACCATTACCATGCTAATTAATTTCAACATTAGTTTCAGAGGGAACATTCAAATCAGCATCCACCAGTCTGTGCATCTAACAGATTATCTTGAGCCCTCTCTGTACTCCTAGCGGTGAGAAAGAGATGAGGGAGTCAGGACCCAACCAGGAAAACAGGAACCTCTACAGGGACTTTGAATGAGGAATTTAATCCAAGGAGAATCAAACAGATGTGCACAAGTGACAGAAACTCAAAACTGAAAGAGAAAGTAGTAAGGCAAACTGGAGCTGTACCGTAGCAGAAAGCCAACTCCAGCCCCAAATTGGAAGGTTGCCCAGTCCTGTGGGAGCTGGAGCCACTGAGGGAGGGCAGCCCCGCCAGAGAAGGAGAGGAACACCCGGCGCTCCCTCCTTCTCCTCCTCCCACAACTCAGCAGTGTCTCTTCTTAGCTGGAAGCCTGCTGACACAGAGGCCTGGGAAAGGAGTTCTTCAGGAGTCAAATCCCCTATAGCGCAGAGCACTTGAGAAGATGAATGAAGCAAGTTCTCAAGGAATTACCATCCTGCGGAGGAAAATGAGATACACATAATAAAGAGAGCCTAGAGAAGTGATTCTAAACCAAGATCTCACTTTGGTAAACCCACACGGAGGACAGCTCAGCCTGCCTCATTGTACACATGACTTAGAACGTGACTGACTGAGCTCAGCAGGACTCAGGGCAAATGCAAGGGCTCTCCATCAATCCCCACCTGCCTGTTTTCTGCCATAACTTTACTTTTTTCGCTTTTCTCAACACTTTGCATTCCTTTTTCCCTCTTACTAGCATCCTCCCCATCCCTTTCTTATATAGGTCAGCCCCCACTTGAGCATATCACAATTTCCTGAAAACATGCAGGAAAGTTAAACTTGTATATCGCATATATCTGTTAAAAATGGGGTTCAGTCTGAGCATGGTCTCTCTATGTCATTCAGGCTGGCCTTGAACTCACTGTATAGCCGAGGCTGGCCTCAAACGTTTGGCAGTCCCCCTGCCTCAGCCTCTCAAATGCTGGGATTAGAGGCTTGTGCCACCACACTTAGCTATGTAATTTTTTTTTCTTTTTTTGATGGATAATTTTCCTTTGGAGAAAACGGCAGGAAGATGATTGCTCTGAACATTGTTAATCCAGTGCACCAAATGACTATTAATTTCTAAGGTAATCATAATAATATCTGTGTAGCATTTTTCTTCATGCTTTTTCACTTTGTTCTTTTCCTTCATAATTAAACGCACAGTCTGCTTATGGGTACAGAACATCTGGTTGATATCGAAGGCTCTCATACTTTCAGCTTACCTAATAATTTCCATCTTAGTTTCAAGTGACAGTTGAATTAAGTTCACTTGATCTCTGCCTCTTATTACTTGCAGCTGTACCTTGTGCCTTTCCACTTCCCGGTAATTTTGATCAGATATGAGGAAATGCAATAAACATCCCAACAGTTGTCCAGACAGATGCTGTCGGGCACAGATGGTCATGGTGCTAAAATGACCAAGTGGCTGGACCAGGGGGCTGTTTGGCAAGCACTGGTGCAGCAGTTGGTGCAGTGGAGCCCACACTGTGCATGAAAGGCACTTCCGTTGCTTACTCGGCTGGGATAGACCAAAGTGAAAGCCCATTTGACCGAAAAACACTTTGTCTCCAGGAATCTTGTCACTCTCATTCTGGACAGAGCACACACTCTGAGAGCACCAACGGTGAGGAGTCTAATGCTGACAGGACAGATGTCAAATAGAAGTACGGCATGGTGTCCCTCACTGTGGGCCTTGCATCCCATTTGGAGAGATCAGATCTTGAGAAATGCAGAAACAACCACCCAGCCAGTCTCTGGGGCAGGGGGACAGGAATCAGGCTACAGATGCTCAAGGACTGGATGGTGGATGTTCACAGAAGGTTTGCTGGAAGAAACGGTGCTGGGTCAGGATCTTGCAGGATTGGGACACTTAGGAGATAAGTGTTCCAGTAGAGGTTCCATCAGAGATATTATGGGTGTTGACTGAGGGAGGTGCGGTCAGGCAGAACCAGCACCATCCTTCTTTCTTTCTGCATGATCTTGACCAGGTCACATAAACTCTCCAAGCCAACCAGCCTTTAACTGGGAAATAGCAACTGGGAAAGTCACCCTGACCTTTAAACATCGAGGGTTTTAGAGGAGATGCTCTGTCTAAAGTTCTCATGTAATGCTTGCCTAACTCAAGGCTCAACAGAGGAAACATTTTCATTTGTCATAACTCTAGGGACCTCAGAGAGGTCTGGTTTTCTCTTAGAACATTCATGTCAGGCCATCTTTTTGAAGGTGAGAAAGCTTGCCTCTTCCCTCTGCCTTTCTGGTTGTATCTGTTAAGTAACTCTCTGCATAGGACCTCCTGAGGCACTGTGTTGGGAAGAATTCTAAGTGCTGCTAATCTGGAATGAATTAGCAATGTCTTCCACAAACACAAAACCAAGGAGAGTATGTGTGCTTTGATTTGTTACCAATGCTCCAAGCAAAAGGAAATATTCTGATGGTGGGCATTTTGGCAAGGTGATACCTTTTAACTTCTGCAAGTAACCTTTTGCAGGTTAACTGAAGAAGTGGGGTCTGCAGCTCAGCAGCCGCAAGCTTCACGTCCACGTGTGCCCACAGCCTGAGGAGGAAGGACCAGGAGAAAGTGGGTCTTTCTGCCAGCATCCTGCCTTTCACTGGGGTTCTTAGGGTTCCAATCTGCCTCCTACAAACTTTCCCCTCTATCCAAGTGTAGGAGACCATGACTGACCTCCACTGTATATTAGTAGCTGTCTTACGCGCCTTTCCCTTTAAGTCAGGACTGCCTACCGTTGCCTAGCTACTCCCGCCTCAAGAACTAGGACTGCCCACCATTACCTAGTTACTCCCGCCTTTGTCGGGTTATTTGGTTATTCCCGCCTTAGAACTTCCGCGTTTCTCCGTGCGGTATATAAGCACGGCACTTCCCGCTAATAAATGAGACTTGATCAGAGCACTGTCTTGTCTCCATTCTTCGTGTCTCTTGTCCCTTTATAATCCCCACTCCCCCTCTAGGGTCCTAGTTGGCTGTACCCGCGGGCCGGGACATCCAAGTAGACAAACTTGGTCCTATGGCCAATATTACCTGCAAAGAGATTGGGAAACTGAAATCTGATTTCTTAGGTTATAATGGATAAAAGAATTAGACATGGTTGTAAGGCAGACATCCAGTAATGTCTGCCCCAATTCTTGTTTGATGTGAAGATGAAATTATTTATGCATATGTAACACTAAACACAGCACCTGGTATGAATCTGTGCTCAAAGTCTTTAGGTACCTACTTCACTATCTGTCTGTCCATCCACCCTTCCATCCATCTATCTATCTGTTGTAGTCAGGGTTCTCAAGGGAAACAATTTAATGTAGGATACATAATTTATAGAATTATTTTATAATGGTTGCCCAAAGAGTCAAATGGGAAAACAGTGCGGGAGATCTGTCCACACACGAGAGATCCAGAAATTCCAGCTGAGAGCCTGGATCCCATGGCAGTGTCCTGCATGATTCCAGCTGAAGATCTAGAGCCCATCACAATGTCCTCCACAAGTCTAACTGGAGGCCCAGAGCCCACAACAATGTCTCATGCAAGTCTGTACCAAGGATCTGCACTGGGAAGGCCCAAAGGTCAGTGGGGGAAGCTAGAAAGCCTGCACCAGCGGGATGAAGGTTCTGTGCCAGCAGGCTGAGGTATCTGCACTAGAACCAGTAATTGATGCTCAAAGTAAAGAACAGAGCTCCCCCAAAGTGAACTGTAGCCATCCCCAGTGACAACAAGATCTCGAGCTCCTCTGATGATGAGAACAGCCAAATTCATATCAGGAAAACCAGCATGACCCACTTCTCCAGGAAAATCAGCAGCGCCACCTCTTCTTCTCCAGTTCCTTTCATGTTGCTGGCAACAATCCTCAGGTGGGCCTCCCACACCCAGCACCATGCTGGTCCCGTTCAGCTGGGTGTTACAAGTTGACCACAAATTTCAGTCCACCACACTGTTTATCCTTCTACCCATTTCTCCATCCATCTCTAGTCCTTTTTTGTTTTGGGTAGTGGACTATTGCCAGGGTCCTTTGTTGATTTCTTTTGTTGTATGAATTACTTAATAAGCTCTGAAGTGGGGAATGAGAATTCCCCCTAGAAGACGTAGTTGCCTTCTAAGGAGGGAGAGCTGTTGACTGCACAGCTTGGTTTTGCTGAGTGGGCTATGCAAATTCAAGGCCAAGGGCTGAATTTCTCAGAAATTCAGAAAGAAAGAAAATGGAAAAGATTCTGGATATGGTAGGGGGATATACATCTCTTCATAATATCTTCAAAAGAATCCACCTTGCTTCCTAGTGTTTTGAGATGGGTTTATATTTTTAGAGAAGAGTAGCAATGTTGAATTCTGCTCTGAGCTGCTATGGGTCAAATCCGGAGATGCCCATGTGAAAGTAGCTACATATGGGTGGCCTAATTAAGAAAGAAAACAGAAGAAAATAAAGCAGGATTGCATCATCTCCTCTATTTTCTTTGGCCCAGAAGGCTTAACAAGGATTGCTTTCCATTTTAATCTCCATCCTAGGAACAGAGATGGTGAGTACCGTGCTACTATGTTTCTTACAATCTCATCCAGGAGGAGAGTGTCTTTGTGTGTGACCTTGTGAACAGCCATGTTACTGGGGTCCCAGATGACATCTGGATGAGCCTTCATGACCTCAGATAGGTGAGGAAACAGTATTCATCAGGCTTCCAGGGAAGCACAACCAAGATTCTATTTTTGTTTAACAAACATGTCACAAGTGTGCCAGATCACTGCTCTGCACCCAGCACACAGAGACAATTCAGGCCCCAAGAGGCCACAGTTAGCATAAGATAAATGTGAAAGGGGGATATGATAGGAACACACAGTGTGGTCAGAGAAGGCCTCTGCTTTGACTCGGGCTCTCCAAAAACCAGACTCCAAAACATACTTAGGTGTGCAAGAGATGATTTTTAGGGGAAATGCATGAATTTAAAAAAAAAGAAAAAGAACCATAAGGAGACAAGGAAGTCTTCAGATAGTGATGTGGATCTGAGACCTGAGAAAGGGGCGGGAGAAGAAGGATCACTAGGAAGGGGCTCAGATCACAGCACGGTTCTGGTGAGGCCAGTGGGGACACTTGAGGCAAGGCTCCTCCTCCCAGGAGTCCTGCACTCGACAGGAATGGGCCATGCGGGTGCCCCTCCCATGCCCCTACTGGTCACCAACTGGGAACAGCCTGCAGGCCATGTGCTATCACTGTGAACGTGATGATGGGTCCTTCTGCACAAGCAGAAGGGACGAGAGGGTGAGCCTGGCAGTCACCATGCTCACTGCAGCTGGTCCTTCTGAAGGTGACCTGGAGAGTGCACATCCATGGCTGTCACTGCCCCCTGGGTCAGAGACATTTAAGCTTATGTCTAAGCAATACTGAGGGAAAACCAGAGGCAGATCATTTCAAGTAGAGGGAACGGCATGGGCCAAGGTCCTGAGGTAGAAGAGATGATGGAACATTCAAGGACATGAAAGCAGAGCAGTGCAGAGCATGGCAGAGATGGCAGAATAATGGTGAAGAAGGAGGCTGAAGAGACTGAGGGCTCCTGCTTGCCAGTATCATAGCAAACTCCACCAGAGATTCCATCCCCAGACCTCACACAGGCATGCTGCATGCTGAGTCTACTTCATGTGCATGCTCTTGCCCTGCCCCACACACTGTAGGGAGCAGAGTTCCAGACCCAGTTCCCATTCTGCCACTGACAGGCTTGTGAGTGCTTTAAAACGTTTCTCTCGGCCTCAGTTTCTCTTTTTGTGAAATGGGGATAATAATAGTAGTGCCTTATTGTAAGAAATAAATGAGCTAGCTGTGTAAAGGCTTAGCATAATACTTGACACATTGTAAGAGCTCATGAAGAGCCAGGCATGGTGACCACACCTGTAATTCCAGTATTCTGGAAGGCGGAGGCAGGAGAATTGCGAGTTCAAGCCCAATCAGGGCAATTTAGTGGCTTGTGGGAATTGAATCGCTAAATCACTTAAATTTTTTTAAAAAATTAAGAAAGAATGGGAATATAGCTCAGAGCAAAGGCCCTGGGTTCAATTCCCAGTACAACAAAAACAAACAAAAACAAAAACCACTTCATTAGGGATGGAAGACGTTGCCACTAAAGTAGAAGGAGTAAGTGTGGCCAGACTTAGTGTATTTTTTAAATGAGTTTATATGTCAAGAACTATATAAAAGGGTTGGGGGCATAGCCCAATAGCAGAGCATCTGCTTAGCAAGCATCAGACCCTAGGTTTGAACCACAAAAAACAAACAAATGAAAGCTAAATAGAGGGGGCTGGGGATTTAGCTCAGCAGCACAGCACCTGCCTGGCAAGCATGAGGTCATGAGTTTGATTCCCGGTACTGGAAAAAAAATAAAAAAAAAAAAAAAAGCTAAATAGAAGTCATAATAGGGCCAGGGCTGTCTGAGTGATAGAGTGTGTGCTAACATGTGCAAGGTCCTGAGTTTAATCTGTAGCACCAAAAAAAAAATGTAGTAAAAAACCTAAAATTTCCTTTTCTAATGGCAGCACTAAAATTATAACTACATTACATTGAACTTAAGCAATAGAACAAGACCTAATAACAATATTAACAAGCAATACAAATAAAGGGATTCTTTTTTTCTTTTCAGGGCTAGGCATCATGTGTCGGGGTCTGTGTTAAGTTCCTCACACACTTTGATTCCCTCGACCCTCACAGCAACTCTCTGAAGAAGGTACCAGCTCCATTATATAAATGCATAAACTGAGGCTTAAAAGGCTGAATAACTTGTCTAGGTTGCAGACAGAGAAAGTGGGTGGAGATGGACCCTCAAGCTCTAACCTCAGCTGTCCCTTTCTCTGTCTCTGTCTCTGTCTCTCTCTGTCTCTCTGTCTCTGTCTCTCTCTGTCTCTCTCCCTTTCTCCCTCCATTATTCCTCTCTCTCTCTCAGAAGTAACATGCTATTCCCTTTATACAAAATAAGCTCCATAATCATCAGTGCTTTGGGGGACACTTTTCTAAAAACCTGAAGAAATAGAGAAATTGCTAATATTACTGGATGTTGCAAACATGTAGTTCTTTCCACAGTTAATTTACACGTTTATTACAACAGCAATCAAATTCCCAACAGGACTTTTCTTGCAGTTGGACAGAGTAGTTTCCACACCAGGCAAGAATACACAGACTATCTGAACAAAAAGAAAACAGGTGAAAGGTGACTCCCACCCACTGGGAAAGTGCAGTAATTAGGGTCTTGCTACTGGAGTCAGATGTACCTGGGTTTGAATCCGGCACTGAGACTTTATCAGCGCTATGGATTTGGGTAGATTCACCTAAGTCTCAGTTTTCTGAGCAGAGCATGATTGTTTTGCAGGATAGTGAGGATAAATGAGTAAAATGCACCCTATAAGCCCTCAGCAAAGCATCAGGAATAATAGTAGTAGTAATAGTAATAATAATAGTGGTAGTAAGAGCTGTAGTATTAGATTAAAAGTGAGGGCTTCTGGGCAGAGGTCGTGGATGTAGAGGTGCTAGAATGCCCAGATGCCCGATCTTCTCTCGCTGATTTACTTCCTGACCTCTTTGTGGATCTCGGGAAGGGCAGTTTGAGTGAACTGACAGCTTAACCCGACTGCAGCTACTGGGACGGGAGCCAGCCCAATGGCGGCATCCACGTGAACCCAGAAGAGGACTCCGTGCAAATGTGGTACCGGCCTACCAGTGGCGGGTGCCCTGAGACGAGGGTTCTTATGGGGGGAGGAGCCAAGCTGCTTGGGGCGGCCCATAAAGTTTCAGCACCTCGGAGAGCGTTCAGGGAAGCTAAGGGACTTGGGGTATGGTCATTCTCCACAGTCGATGATTTTTTTTTTTTTTTTAATTTTAAAGAGAAAACACATAAAAACAATAATACAGAATTTCAAAAAAAGATAATAGGAAATTAACAATGGTTAATATATTGTGTATTGTTATCTTCAAAATAGTTGCTCATATTACAAAATATAGGCATGCAAAATTGATCAAACACTATGGTTCATTGTTGAGATGCAGATTCTGATTTGGATGAAAAGGCATTAGAAACAGAAGCACTAAAAAAAAAAAACACACAAAACAAGCAAACAGATAAAAAATAGATTTCCACAAGTAGTCGGAAGGTGGTGCTTCCAGATCATCTCACTGGGGCACCAAAGTGCAAGCTTCTAACTCAGGCTGGGCTTCCGAATATTAGAACAAGACTATGCCTGATGAGGCACAGACGTGTGGGTCATGAAAAAAGTGTAGATCTGGGGTTTGAGTCCTGGACCTGTTGTGTTCTGCAATTTTGTTTCTTCTTCTATAAAATAAACTTATAATCTTCCTATCTACAGGGCCATTAAGATGATTAAAGGAGATACCATTGATACACACAATGGCAAGAGCACTTGTCTGGGGTCGATGGCCATTGTCTGAACTCCAGCTCCAACCTTCATTAATTGAGTAGTTCAAGGTGAATGCCTTAACCTCTTTGTGGCTCAGATTCTTCATCTTCAAAATGGAACTAATGATTCTTGGCTCACAGGGCTGGTGGAAAGAATGGAGGTAATATACCTAAATATGCTGTTGTAATGAGCATGCAGTATTAGTAATCACCACTCTTCAGACCAATCATGAGAAATAAAAGGTATCATTATTCCCATTTTGCAGATGAGGAAACTGAGGTTCAGAGAAGTTGAGTAACTTCTTTAAAGGTCACAGCAAACAAGCAATGGTTTAGAATACCAAACCCAAGTCTGCAAGATTCCAGGCCCAAGCATTTAACTGCTATTCCTACTTTGCTTCTTCTTTTCATTTTCCTGATTATGGGAGGGAAGTATGGAACAGTGACTTATCCTGGGAGCCTAGAGTCCAGGAACCATAGCCAGGCTGAGATCCTGAGGGATGTTTGTCCTTCTGTTCATGGGGGCAAGCCAGCCTCAGCCTTATGAGAGAATAAGACTAGACAGCAACAATATCAAATACCAGCAAGAAAGGACTACTAGAGTAGAAGCAAAGCCTCCTGGAGGGGGCTTTTGCTCCAGTGGGGTGGCAGGGTTCCTTTTATTGCACTAGGTAAATCTTCACCCATATTCTCTGCTTCTTCCTACTGCAGCTCTGAGGTCATGGAGTGACCTCACCAGGGCATGGAACGATCACACTGTGGCCAGAAGTTCCCCTCCTTGTCTGCAAAATCCCATCTCAGAGTGCTCATTGACACCCTCCTGCCCTCCAGAGTGAACTCAGCTCCAGCATTGTCTTGTAGCTCAAGCTAGAATGGAGCTGACATTGAGTAACTGTGCATTATACATGGCAAATCTTCCAGGCAGATTTTAAGCAAGCAAATCTTAATTCCTCAAGGTGGTCACTTGGCCAGTGACAGAAACCCAACTCAAACTAGCTTAATAAATAAAATGGGTAGTGGATTTATTGGTCCTAGTAACAAAAGTGCAGAGCTTGTTCTGGATTCAAAGTTGGATCTGCCTCTGGGCTCCACCCATCCCTGGAGTGTCACCTGGGCACAGGCTGAGGGCTGGGTCCTGCTGAGATGACCACCCTGGGGAGAGGGGGTGGAAGTTGATCTTATCTGAGGGGCTCAGGGTGGGAAACTTAAGGTGATGTTGGTCAAAGAGTGCAAACTTTCTGAAAGTAAGAAGGTGAATAAATTCTGGAGATCTAATATGTAGTATAATGATTATAGTTAATAATATATATTTTAAATTAACTAAGACAGTAGATCTTAAGTGTTCTCATCAAAAAAGTGGGTAGACCAATATATAATGTGAATGATAGGTTAATTAGCTTGATTGTGGCAATTATTTCTCAATCGTCATGTATATCAAAATATCACATTATACATTTCAATTGGGGATTGGTTCCAGGACCCTTTGTAGATACCAAAATCTGAAAATATTTAATTCCCTTCTATAAGGTGGTATAGGATTTGTATAAAACCCACACACATCCTTTCACATGCTTTAAATCACCCCTAGATGACTTGCAATACATAATACAATGTGTTATGCAAATAGCTGTTATTTGTATTGTTTAAGGAATAATGACAAGAAAAATAAGTCTACATGTTAAGTACAGATGCATTTTTTATTCAATACATTCAATCCACACTTGATTGAATCCTCAGATGCAGAATCCTCGATATCAAGGGCTGGTTGAATACATAATGTTTGCCAATTTTACCTCAATAAAATAATTAACTATATCTGTATATGTGTATATGTACATGTGTATGTGTGTATATGTACATGTGTATGTGTGCGTATCTATGTATAAACATACGTGTGTATGGCTAATATATAATATATGCTGATATACATATATATCAGAATGTATATATATATATATATATTTTTTTCTGAACTACATGAGCTCAGAAAGGAGGCTGGTTCTATGGAGAAAAACAAAAATATCACCAAACTCATATATTGCTGGTGAGAATTTAAAATGATGAAGTCACTATGGGAACTAGTTTGGCACATCCTTTAAAAAAAGTTAAACATAGCATTACCATATGAACCAGAAATTTCACTCCCAGGTCTATATTCAAGATAATTGGAAATAAGTGTTGAAACTCAAGTGATCAAAGCACCCTTATTCATCATAGCAAAAAAGAAAAAGAAACAACCTAAATATCTATCAACAAATGAATGATTTTAAAAAATAATAGATCCATACAATAGAATATTACTCAGGCATAAAAATGAATCAAGTGCTAATCTTTGCAACAACCTGAAAGAAATCTGAAAACACCATGTTGCACTCACAAAAGACCACATGCTGTGTGATTCCATACACTCTCGTGTGCTGCAGAATGAAATTTTTGTTGAAGATGGATAGCACAGGCAATGGGGTCACAAAGACTAAATCACCTAGTGTGTGATAGCTGTCACAGTTTGTCTAAGGACCCTCTGTGATGTTCATACATTGACAAAATCACCTAGTGATAAATTCTCAGAATGTGTCCCTGTTATCTGGTGATGTGTGACTGTGTGTGAAATGTCTGGAATAAGCAGATCCATGGAGACAGAAAGTAGATTAGTTTTGCTGTGGATGGACAGGAGAGGGAATGAGAAATGCCTGCTAAAGGTCACAGGATTTCTTCTGGAAGGTGATAAAAAGGCCCTTCGGTTGGATGGTGGCAATGATTGCACGGCATTGTGAGTGCGCTGGAGGTGACTGAGTTGTACATTCTCAAGGGGCTAAAGTGATGAATTTTACATTGTATGAATTTTACTTAATGTTGCCAAAAGAAAGAATGCATACCAGTCAAGAAATACAATAAATACCTATTAGTAAAAAGTCACTGACCAGGGAGGCAAAGGCCTGAGTTCAATTTTTGATTTCCAAAGACTCATTTCTGATTTGGTGTGGCTTATGAGGCAGAAATAAATTAAAATTTTAAGACCTTGGGTATCAGTGAAAAGAGGAAGGAGAAAAACATACAAAAGCACAGTAACTGATATTTAGTAATTTATAGTGCTTCTCAGATTTTACAGGAATAACCTTCTGAAATGAAGTTTTGTTTTGGTTTTTTGTCTTTTTGAGACAGAGTCTTGCTATGCAGTTCAGGCTGGCCTTGAGCTCACTCTGTAGCGCAGGCTGGTCTTGAACTCACGACGATCCTCCTGCCTCAGCCTCTTGAGTGCTGAGATTATAGCCTCATGCCACCACGCCTGGCCTGAAATGAATATTTTAAAGGGACCTTCATATTGCTTTAGACTTGCCCCTGGGTCTACAATTGAAAACAACAGCTTTCCGTCACTATAACAAAATACCTGAGGCAATTAACTTATAAATATAAAAGGCTCATTTGGGCTCATAGTCCTGGAGGTCACAGGCCAAGATGGAGTGGCCCTATTGGCATTAGGACCCTACTGAGGAGAGCACATCATGGTGGAAGTTCATGGTGGAGCAAACCATTCATCTCATGAGCCAGGGAGCAAAAAGAGAAAGAGGATAGGCCAGGGCCCCACAATCCCCTTTGGTGACATGCCCGCAGTGACCTAAGCACCTCCCATTAGGCTCTACCTCCAAGTACCACCTGGGGACCAAGGCTTTACAGGAACACTGGGTAACACCACCCAAACTCAAACCACAGAAAATACTAATTACCCTTTATTCTAAAGCGAGCTGTGAGTAATGGACCAGTCCTCTTCCCTCAGAGCTTCTGTGAGGACCGGCAGAGCCGGCTTCTCCATAAGCAACCACGTGAGTGAGTGGGAGGAGACAAACACTGGAGCCCTTGGCCTTCTGGAGAATAGTGTTCACAGTGAAGGGGGTTCTCCCCGCCCTTTCTCACAGAGGAGGGGGTGGGGGCCTCCTCTCCACTTCCAGTGTCAACTGAGCAGAGCGCTAAGAAACGACTGCACAGAAGGGCAGCTGGCCTCTCCCTCCCCAGGAGTGGCAAGGGCTGCCCCTCCAGTCCTCCACTAGGAAAGAGCCGGGCCAGAAGCAATTGCACTTGTCCCTGGGGGTCTGGGGGCACGGAGGAAGAAAGCCCTTCTGGTGTCCTCTGTGTCTTTTTCTGGGGACTTACGAATTAAATAAGAGAACAGCAGGTGGAGAGCTTTAGAACTTCGTCGATGTGCACACAGGCTTCACAGGAAAGAAGGAAAAACCCAAAAAGCTGTGAGGCTTGGGGCTTACATGCCATTGCAACAAAGGGTGACAATTTATGGAGAAGTAAGTAGACACGGGGAGGGGGGTGGACTTCAAAGCCAGCAAACTGTGGGAAAGTGACTTGGAAATATATGGTATGAAACAGTTATTCAGTAAGATGTGTTATGCTGACCCAACTTAGAGTTATTTTGTTCTGGTTCCAGAGAGGAACACACTTCCATAATTAGAAATTTATGTCACCTTTACAAAGAAAAATGTATGCTCTGCTTACAGGCAGGTAGGAGGAGAAAAGCCAGAGCTCTTCTGTGAAAAGGGCCCTTAAGTGTGGAGGGGGTCTGGGTGAAATGGAACATTTCCTGAGAAAAACACATTCACCATCTATGGGGAAACAGTTCCTGGGTCAGAGGTCACCGCTGGATCCAGATGAAGTGGCAGGGAGGCCAGGAGCCTCTGCTTCACCCAGGAGATGGGCTCTGTAAGAAGATGTGCGCTTTCTCTATCCCCCTTCTCACCATGCAGCCCAGAGCTGAACCCTGATGGAGGCCCAAGCCAGACAACATCCCCTGTCTCACTCCAGTCAAAGGAGTTGGAGAGGAGAGCAAGTCTTGTTCCACTGACCGTGAACACCTCTAGCTTCAGCCCAGACTATACTAGAGAGAGAAGACAAAATACATAAATCAGCCTATGTCTGCAGCTTTGGGTAAGACTGGTCCACCCTTTTACTAACAGAACACTACCAGGAAGCTGTAGAATTAGCCCAAGATATCACTGCAGGACAGAAATACGGGCTGGATGTGGTTGAAAACAGTAAGTCTTTCAAGACAGTCTCTGTTTATAACCCTTTGGGGTGACAGACAACTCAACACAGACCGTTTGGGAAGGTCATGACTTGTTCTGTGCAAAGAGGTGAGGTTTAATCTTAAACCCTACCACACTCCAATTATGTGATCTCAGGTAAATCACTTCACCTCTGAGAACCTTGGTCTCCATCTCTGTACAATGGGTAGAAAAAAAACATGTTGTAAAGATTAAATGAGATGTTGAGCTGGGCATGGTGGTGCATACCTATAATCCCAGAATTTGGGAGGCTGAGGCACGAGGATCCCTACAAGTTCAAGGCCAGCCTGAGCTGCATAGTGAGTTCAAGGCCAGCCTCAACTACATAGCAAGACCCTGTCTCAAAAAAACAAAAACAAAGGAGAGAGAGAAAGAGAGAGAGAGAGAGAG